AAAACTATATGATACAAATTTAAAATCGAATAAAAAGCACAAAAAGAGATTACCGAAGTAAAAATGAATAAGGAGATTTATTAATATTAAATTAAGTATTTATAAGTTCATTTTACCAATTTTTCTTTTTCCACCAAAAAATTTTGTCCTTTTTGACAATCTTTTATCAGTATTTTTTTATCTTTTAATTCTTTCTCTCCTAACATAATTAATATTCTTGGTTGATAGTAATCAATAATTTTAGGAAGAGTTTTTATTTTTCTAATTTCCAAATTATAGTCTATTACCAAAGAAAATTTTGCTAATTCTTCCTTTCAAACCAGAATATCCGAATAGGCCTCCGGAACAGAAACAAAGAAAAAAACATCGACCTTATTGTCAACTTTCAACAAATTTTTCTTCTCCAAATAATCCGCTAAGCGCTCAATCCCAATAGCAAATCCAAGGGCAGGTGCATCTATGCCCCCTATTTCTTGGTAAAGTTTATCATATCTGCCCCCACCCAAAATTGCTTTTTGTCCTTCGGTAATGCTTGGTATTTGCTCCGTCAAACACTTTCGCATTTCAGTTCCCAAATCGACTTCAAAAACTACTCCGTCATAATAATCTAATCCGCGTACTAAATAGTAATCATACTGATAAGGAAAATTAAACTTATCTAAAAGTTGGTTAACTTCTTTTACATATTCCTTATCTTTCTCGTCCCAAGCGTCTTTATAGGAAGGAAAGGAAGATTTATTTTTACACAGCAAGCAATCAAGTATTCGTAAAGGGTTAGTCTGGTATCTCCTTTGACAGTCCTCACACAAATCAAGTCGGTTTTTCTCAACAAACTTTTTTAATTCACTTTTGTATTTTTCTTTTGTTTCCTTATCTCCTAAATAATTTAATTTGAAAACAAAATCTTCAATCCCCAAACCACCTAAAATATCAGTAACCAACTTTAATATTTGATAATCGGAAATAACACCTCGGACGTTAACTAATTCCACCCCCAACTGCCAAAACTCACGATACCTCCCTTTTTGGGGTCGTTCGTAACGGAACATATTAGCCCAATAATATAATTTCAAAGGATAACCCTCTTTAATTAACTTATTTTGACAGACCAAACGCACTGTGCTAGCCGTTCCTTCGGGTCGCAAGGCCAATTCTCGACCTTTTTTATCTAAAAAAGTATACATTTCCTTATGAATAATGTCAGTGGTGGAACCCAAGGAACTAGTAAATAATTCTTCCGCTTCAAAAGTAGGAAAGATTATCGGTTGATAGTTATTTTTGTGAAGTATTCCCGTAATAATTTGTTGGATTTTTTGATATAAGAGAGAACGGAACGGATAAATATCCTGGGTACCGCGGGGCTTGTTAGGGAGGGACATTTGATTTTATTTTCTGTTATTCTTTCACCATATCACAATTAATATTCCACCACCAATAATTAATCCATAGGGAAAATTAGCTTTTTTATCTTTTTATGTGCTTTAATGAATAAATAACAAAATAAGTGATTCCTCAATATTTATATCGTGTTCAGAACTGAGATAATAACTTACCAAACTATTTAATCTTCTTTCGACAGCCTTTTTTATTATTTTTGTGTTGTCATCCTTTTTGATATCCGGCACCAATTTAGTGGGTCATCAACTCTTTATTTTGGTAACTAATTTGGGAACATTTAAGCCAGAACTGATAGCCAGCGGTTCAACTTTTACTTCCTTTAATTGTAATTTATTATCTTTTGCTCCGCCTAACACTTTCGTGTTTCAGTCTGCCGTCAGTAGAATAATTAATAACCCACTTTGACCTAAATTACTCCTTTGTTCAATTAATATTTCATCCAAACTTATTAGGGATTTTTTGACTTTCAGCGAGGAAATTTTCTGAGTGGGAAAATCGAGGACACAACCATTATTAAGAGTTAAAAACTTGCCAGACAAATGAGAGAGAAATTTTTCATTCTTATAACTATTTTGCAGGGTAATTATGCGAAGTGGCTGTAATAATTGCAGCAGTAATTTGAAATCATAAAAACTCACTCCCAAACTTAAATACTCCTTTTTGCTGAAATTAATTATTTGGTCGCTTTGGGTGTAAAGATAATCAATTATGCGAGCTAATCTAGCCTCGCCGCCAATTACCGGAGGAATACCAACTATAAACTGAAAAGTAGACTTTTTGGGGGTTGAGAAAGCGGCTAAACAATTCTTTAATTTTTGTTCGATATCTTCCGGATTACCAACCAGTAAATAGATTTCTTCTCAATTTTTCTTTCCCTTCGGCTGAGACTGCTCTTTGCCAATTACTTCCGAGAGCGAACTTTTGGTCAACACTTGACTAATTAGGGAGGCAAAATCTTTATTGAGAATTTGGACTGGTCGACCTCAACTGCGAGCCAACTCTAATAATTCCAAGATATGTAATCAGTCAAAATCATAGAAAAGGAAAAATAGTGGCCTTTCTTGGCTGGGAAAACTTTTGGTCGTGAAAAAAAGCGAGTTCTTATTTTGTCAATGCAATCCTCAATAACTAGTAATTAAATAAGTGTTTTTTCTTTTCTGAGCACAGAACCGTTGAAATTCCGGTCAGAAGTTGGTGGGAAAAAGTATTCTATTATTCAGTAAACTGCTAAAAATAAATCCTTCCAGAAAATAGAAACTATGGTGGGAATGATGAACCACCAGCCCTAAATTACCCAACAAATAACTATTGAGATGGATAAAAGATAAAACAAAGTCGCCAATTTTTCATTCCTGGTTTTTTTCGGCCACTATTATTTTATTTCTTAGTTGGGGAAAAAGATAAGGGAAAACTAATTTGCTCAGTTGACTAGTATAAATGGGAAGGTGGGAACCAATTTCGCGGCAAATATCAGTCAACAATCCCACATTTTGTCAATTAGTATTAGCCACAACAATGGCCTTAATTTTAGTCCTATTTTCTTTTAAATAATCACGACCGATTTGTTGTTCTTGGCAACCAGTTAACGAATAATATTTACCAGTAGTTAGGAGCAGAATATGTTTTTCCGACTCCAAGAGATAAAAATTACCTTCATTTTCTCAACTACCACGAAAGAGTAAAAAGCGAATTGACATTTTATTTAATAGCAATTATTTGTATTTGGTATTTTCTTTGGATTGTTTGCACTTCGGCTATCGCACCAACTTCTTTATTGTTGAGAGCCATTCCCAGCGGACTAACTCGGGAAATTATGCCCTGATCCGGATCGGTTTCCCCATTTGTTAATTGGACTGTTTTCTCCTCCCCAGTCTCTAATAATCGATAAGTAATAGTTTTATCAGCCTCACGGCTAACGGCTAACATTTTGTCTTTTAATACAGCGATTTGAGCCTGGTAAGTTAGTAAATATTCATTCAATAATATCCAATCACTATTTTCGGAACAGTCTTTCGAGCCATACATCTTCAACTTTTCCTTGGTGACAAAAAAATCGTTCTCTAACTTTCGTAATCTCTCTTGTAGAGAAAAATAACTTTCTTGAACTTTCTTTTTAGTCTTGTCAGACAAAATATCAGGGCTATTCTTAATGCTTTGCATAAAATATCTTATGTTTATTTTTCTATCTAATTTAAAATATTCTGGTTTAATTTTTTAATATTATTTTATTTATTTATTTATTAGAAATAGGAGTGTCGACCGGATAAGCATTCAGACTAGTAATTAATTTTTGTCCTTTGTAAAGTTGAATTTTTTTCTTTTTCTCGTCTTTAATAAAATCAACTAAATCTTTTTTATTGTATCAGCACACTGCTTCTTCGGCTAATAGATAAATCTCCGACTTGGTTTGCTTGTTAATTAAAAATACTTTTTGTAAATGAGCCGGAATAATCTTGACCGCTTTTTTGGCTTTTTTGTCAATGCAT